TTATTATTATTTTCCTATAAAAATGGCAACGACGAGTTTGCGAATTCGATTCTTTTAATTCGTTTGTATTTATTTATTTATTATTATTATTATTATTATTTTATTTGCAAAAAACGTCATCGATTTTCTTTTTTTTTTTTTTGTTTGCTTTCGATCGTAAAAAATATATTAAATATTTATTTATTGATTGATTGATTTTTTACGATCGGTGTAAAATTCAATAAAAAAAAAAAAAAGGATTTGCGATCGTCGTGTCGTGGCTCTTCACGCTACGAACAAAAAAAAATAATTTTGTGTTACGTAATTGATGACGTCATTAAATAGGTACGTTAATTTTTTTTAAAAATAAAATAAATAAATAAAAAAATTGGGTACGAACGAATAAAAAAACATATCGAAATTTAAAATCGATCGATCGATATTTGACCGATGGGGGGAGGAAGGAAATAAATGAAAAAATTTTGGCGGGAAATATCAAATTATTTTTCAAATTGGAACGTTTAAACGTAAAGGTAATACGACGTAATGAACGATTAAAAAAATTTTTTTTTTTTTTTTTTTTGTTAAAACCTAATTTGATTTATATAAGTTGGCAATACTGTTTTTAAAAAAGAATTTAAACTTTTGTTTTGTTTTGTTTTGTGAGAAAAAGTTTTTTAAATTAAATAAAAATAAAAAAAAAGGTAAATAAATAAATAAAAAATGATGATGATGGTGGTGGTGGTGGGGGGTGGAGGTAATGGTGGTACAAAATTTTTTTTAAACGAACAAACGGGCGGACGACGAGACGAGAGTAGTAGTAACGGTTTAAAAAATTGACGAACGAACGAACGGAAGGCACAACAAACAATATGGATCGGTTAAGGCCATGCGCACACGTGATGTAAAAAAAAATTTTTTTTTTTTTTTTTAGTAGGGCACGAGAGGGTTGCTGCGTGGTATGCAAGGGATCAGCAGTCAGTGTGTGTGCGAAAGCTGCCGGGGTTCAGCAGCAGCAACAGAAAAAAACAGTTAATACGCGCGTTCGAAGTGAGTTAATATCAAAGAAAGATGAATATTATTGACACAACAAGGAATTCTCATGAAGCCTAGCAGCTCCTCCCCTGGCCCCGACAGCCCCTCAGCTTTTACTAGGTAAGACTTCATTAAAAATAATAATAATAATAATAATAATAACAATGTTTTTCCTTTCGATTTAACTAAAAAAATTCTCGTCGCCATTTCTCTCTCATCATCCTGGAAAATTTTTTTTTTTTAAATTCATAATTTAATAAGTGTGTTTTCACCATTGTTATTTTTAATAATAATAATAATAATAATAATAATAATAATAATAATAATAATAATAATAATAATAATAATAATAATAATAATAATAATAATAATAATAATAATAATAATAAAACTTTTGTAAAACTAATAGAATTTAAACACCAGACGACGACTATGACGGATGGGGGAGGGAGGGGGAAACATTTTGTTTATTTTTTAATAAATCAATTTAAAAGTTTTTTTTTTTATTAATTAATTAATTAATTGATTAAAAGATTTATGAATGTTATAAATCATGTAAGAAAAATATTACCGGAAGTAATAGTTAATAATAATAATAATAATATTTGATTGTGGTGCGTGAGTGTGTGTGTGTGTTTTAATTTCATCCTACATAATAATAATAATATTTATGAATTTGTCAAATATTGGTTCTCCCTCTCTCTCTCTCTCTCTCTCTCTCTTTCTCTCTTTCTCTCTTGTTTCTCATATCGAAAAATTTTAAAGTGAAAAATTTTTTTTTTAAAGAAAAATTATTATTATTATTTTTCCAGCGTGAAGGAGGAGCCAAATTCAGATCCGCAAAGTCCAGCAGAAGCATCGACTTTGCCACCAAATTCCAGTGGTGAGTTTTTTTTATTATTTACTTCTCCTCCTCCTTCCTCCCTCCCACCCACCCACTCAACCGCCTCCCCCCTCCCCCGAGAAAAAAAAACCAACCAACGAACGATTAAATTTTTAATTTATTTTAATAAAATTTTAATTAATAACTCACAAAATAATAATAATAATAAATATTTTAATAAAACCGTCGACGACTACGACGGTAAAACTTTTTAGAAAATTAAAAAAAAAAAAAAAAAAAAAAAAAATGAAGAACGAGAGAAAACGAAACGTGGAAAAAAAATATGGGAAAACCCAAAATCTAGTTTTGAATAATTAAACTTAATTATTTATCCTATACGCATAGAAAAAGGTTCTAGAAAATTTAACACACACACAAATTTTCTAAACGTTTAAATGAAATATTTATATATATATATAAAATTACGATGATGAGAGAAATTCGTTGGAAAAAAAATTACGCGAGCATATATATATATATATATATATATATTTAATTAAAAATTCATTTCGATGTTATTTTTTAAGAAAATTAAATAATTTACTCATTTTAATGATTATTATTATTATTATTATTATTATTTAAATAAATAAATAAAATCCCTGCAAAAAAAAAATCCCCGCGAAAAAAATC